TCATTATCTTAAATTAACCCAGGTTGTGAGTTCTTAGAGCAGTACCTCTTTAAAACATTAACAGGCAATCCTTAGACCATCTAAAAGCAAACTACAAAACAAAACTAACTAGGATAAAAACATATTTAGTTTACGTAATAGCTACCTTGAATTCTGGCAGAGTTATACATTATAATCCCCTGTTTGAGGTTCTGGCAATCGTGACAAAAACCAACTTTTGAACACAACTTTAAATGTACTGATATCTAGCCTACTTCTTTCATAGTCCTCCCCTCAGAATTGTGGATAATGTAGTCATACTATTTGTACTATCTGTTAGGAGTTGTGGGAGCTTTCTCCCTGTTTGAATTATGGGTAATGTAGTCTTATAATTTGTCTTCTTCATGCAGAGATCCTGGGAACTTCCTCTCTTAAGGATTGTGGGTAATGTAGTCCCAACATTTTCTTGCTCACCGCTGGGTATTCTGGGAGCCATCTTACCCCTTAGTTTTGTGGGATATGTAATCCCAAGGTTTGCCTGCTCACTACAAGAGATCCTGGGAAATGCATCTTCATAGAATCTTGGGAATTAAAGTTCCATTATTTGCTTGCTCACTGATGGCTATCCTGAAGACTCTTCCCCTAAGAATTATTGGTAATGTAATTTTAGATTTACTACTCACTTTGGGGAATCCTGGGTGCTTCAAGCCATGTAATTGTGGGTATTGTAGTTCTAGACGTAACCACTTTGGGGTGGGATACCATTACCCATAATCCTAAAGTGGAGGAAGTTCCCAGTATCCCATTTCCTCCATTTTAGTATTATGGGATATGTCTCATGTTTTTCCCTGATAGCAGTAGGGTCTCAAGGGAGGATTATGAGTAATGAAGTCCAAATTGCCTGCTTACTGCTGGGCATTCTGGGAGTCACCTCCCTGAGAATTTTGGGTAATGTAGTCCTATGATTTGCCCTCTCCATGTGAAGAATTCTGGGAACTTCCTGTGCCATAGAATTCTGGGTCATGTAGTCCCACATATTACACAGTGGGGGATTTGTGGAAGTTTCCTTTGCTGTGGACTTGTTATTCTCCGCAGTGAGGATTGTTGGTAATGAAGTCTTGGGTTTATCACTCACTGGGGGATTTGGGAGACTCCTCCCCCATAGAGATTTTAAAACTACAGTCTCAGGTTTACCACAGGCCCAGGGATTCCTGGAACATGTTTGCCTTAGGTAATATAGTTCCAAATTTATGAATAACATGCCCCCATTTTTCCTTGATAACCATTGGCAATGCTGGGAGCTTCCTTTTACTTGGGATTGTGGGTAGCGTAGTCCCTGGTGTAGCAGCTCACAGTAGGGAATTAGGAGTTCCTAAATCTTAGTCTGTATGTGATACATTCCTGGGTTTACCACTCATGACAGTGGATTTTGGAAACTTCCTCCCATTAGGATTGTGGACAATGTAGTCCCACAATTGTTTTTTGCTTGGCACTGTGTACCCTGGGATATTGCTCTCTTTAGGATTGTAGGTAATATAGTCCCAAGTTTTACCTGATCACTTAGGGAATCTTGGGAATTTCTGCTCATTTTAGAATTGTGGGTAAAGTGGTCTCACAATGAGGAATTTTTGGCTCTTTCTTTTTAGAAAATTATAGATAATTATGGATAATTAAATTATTATTTTAGTCCTGGGTTTAACCATTCAATGTGGGGGATTCTGGGACCTTCCTACCTCTTTAGAATTGGAGATAATACATTTCCAAAATTTATTTGCTTGATTCAGGGATTCCTGGAAAACTTGTTAAAATTATTGTGGGCACTGTAGTCCTATTTGATTGCCCATTGGATAATCTTGGTGCTTACTACCCCTTGGGATTGTGGAAAACGTAGTCCTTGGAATACCCTCACTGTTGAGGATCCTGGCAACTTCCCAAGGATTATGGATAGTGTAGTCCCAAGTCTTCACTGCAAACTTCAGTGATTCCTGAAAAACTTATTCACAAAGAATCCTGGGCACTGTAATTCAATTTGACTGCTACTGATGGGTAACCATGGTAGTTTCTGCCCCTTAGAATTGTTGGCAAGTTAGTCATTGGAATTTCCCTTTTGCTGTAGAGGATTCTGGAAACTTCCTAAGAACTGTGGGTAATATAATCCCAAAATTTGCCTGCTTACTGCAGAGAATTCTGGGAAATTTGTCCAATAGGATTGTGGGTAATAAATATTTGCAATTTATCACATAGCAGGAAAATTTGGGAGCATACAATGTCATAGCGTTGTGGGTTTTGTAGTCCTTGGATTGCCCTCTTACTATGGAGGATCCTGGGAACTACCTAAGTATCATGGTAAAAGTTATCTTGTAATTTCCTATCCCGTCTGAGCTGTACATGAAGAACCAAAACAACAACAAAACAGGTTTTCTTTTTATGGCATGATGCACAGGGCTCCTGGACTCTACAATGAGAGATGCAAAACTGGTGTTCTATGTTGCAGTAATTCACTTGTAGGTCAGCATGAGAAAGAAAGAAGAAGCAGAGCAAGCAAAGCAGCAGCAGAAAAATGTCCTTTATTGTATACAAGCAATCTTTTTATGCTATTGTGAACAAAGAAGGCAGCCTTCCAACAGCAATAAATCAGGTCTTTCAGCTAATTAAACAGCATACAGATGTTTTACTTTCTAATCAGAAGTGACCCGCTTCTCATGGCTAATCTACTCTCAGCCTGGAGCATGCCAAGCTCTGCTCTTGTTAAGAACAGATAATAAAATTTTTCTCAGCGCCCTCTTAGCCCACTTGGCAGAACATCCCGTTTGCAGGCAAGTCCTCCCAAGGAYAGCAGACACCTCCTTTTCAAGCATGTCCGCTGTTACCTATCTATACCTTGACAGAATATCCCATTTGCAGGCAGACTCCATCAGGACAGTAATAGTAACGCAGTCACATCTGATTCTCTACAGTTTTATGACAGCAGGACAACTGATCTTTATGTAGAGAAAAGAAAACTCTTTTCTATGGTAGCATAAATACCAGAGCTGCTGTGAGATATGTGGAAAGCCAGGGAACACAGGTTGGATTGTAAAGGTAAAATTTCTAAGCTGATTCTAAGCTGCAAAAGTCTGAGTTAAAGTGTAAAAGACCAGGCATTGTAAGGTTTCTAAATTACAAGGCCTGGGCTAAAGAGTAAAGACTAGGTATTGTTACAATTCCTCTGCTACCCCCGGAACCTGTAATCTCTGTAGCTGTTAGGACAATGCTGGAACTGCCCAGTAAATATCTCCATTGATTCCCTGGTTGTTTAATAGCTAAGGGCTCTAAGTAACTTGGCACGTAAGCATCTAGGCTCCAAAACCAATCAGTTTAAATGTGTACCCCACTTAGAAATGACCAATCACCCCTGCCCTGATTGTTCCCGCCAATGAATTTACTAATCCTGTCTCAGAGTTGTTGTTCAATTTTCCCGCACCTCATGATGATTTGTTCTGATGTATGCAAAGCCCACCGCCCTCTCCAGAAAGTGTACTTAAGCTCTGCTTGACCTCTGCTCTGGGCTCTGGGCTGCTCTATCTTCCTGAGTGAGCCTGGAACCTCAGCATGCTGAATTAATAAATCCCCTTTTGCCAATTGCATGAAGTAAGTCCCTTGTGTGGTCTCTTTCTCCGACGCTCCGCTGGACCCTTACAGGATAAACTGGCCTCCCATGTTTTGTTGGCTTTCCTTGGAGAGAGAGAAATGGGGTTCTATCATGTCAGAACTCACAGTTCTGCAGGTCTGTATATGGAGAACAAGGGAACTTGGTTTCTATGATTGTATGATTCTCAGGACTGCTGTTCTTCATGGATATAGCAAGTGAACTTTTTTTTTTTTTTTTATGTTTCCAGGAATTTCAAGTCTGGTGGAAGTCATGGAACTGGAAGTCACAAGGAACTGGGGTTATTATGATGACAGAACTCTCAGTACTTTTGGGCTCTTGGTAAAAAAACAGGGAAATGGTTGTATTGTTGGAGGGACTCTCAAAGCTTATGGGCTCTATGTGCAGAGACAGGAAACTATGTTTCTGTGATTACAGCAAACCTGGAGCTGCTGGGCTTTATGTGGAGTAAAAGTAAAGTGGGATTCCATTGCTGACAGGATTTGTAATGTTACTAGACACCTCTATTTGGACATCTGGGGAACTGAGATTTTATAACAGAATTCACAATTCAACTGAGCTCTATTTAGACAGAGGGGAACTTGGTTCTATGATTACAGGGGACTGAAGTTCTATGAAGGTGGGTCTCACAGGGCTGCTGGGCTATATGTGGAGAGTCAGATCATGGGATTTCAATAATTTCACGTCTCCCAGCACTACTATATCCTGTGTGGAGAGTTGAGGAACTTGGGTTCTATGGTGGCAGCACACACAGGCCAGTGGATCTGCATATAGGGAGAAGAAAACTGGTTTCTATAATGACAGGATCTGTATGCAGAGCTAGTCTTAGATTACATGTATGCAGGAATCACAGGGCTGCTGGAATCTATCTAAAGAAGGAGGGACCTTTGTTTCTATGATGTCAGGGCACGTATGGCTGCTAAGCTGTTCATGGAGAGGAGTAAAATGATGCTTGTAATGACAAGATACATAGGTCTGCTGAAATCTACATTGAGAGTGTAGAATCTTGGTTTCTACACTCAGATTTTATTCAATGCAATACTTGCAGGCCTCTGAGGATTCACCTGGAGAGCCAGGAAACTGGGATTCCTTGATGACAGGACTTGTAGTGATGTTTGTCTCTAGGTGTAAAGCCGAGAAACTGGGTTTTTATCATGGAAAGACTCCTCAGGCTAAAGCACAGTACTTTTAGGGGCAGGGACATTGGGTTATATGATGGCAGGACTCTAAGGCTGCTGAGGTCTATGTGGAGAGCCAGGGAAATTGGGTTATGTGATGGCAGGGATGGTGGGTTCCGTGCAGAGAGCCAAAAGTGGCTTTTGTAATGACAGTATATACAGTGCTTCTGTTTTTTTCTTCAAAATCCAGGGAACTTCCAGGTGCAGTAGAGCACATCTGTAATCCCAGTGGCTCAGGAGGCAGGAAGATCATGAGTTCAAAGCCAACCTCAGCAACAGTGAGGCACTAGGCAACTCAGAGAGACTCTGTCTCTAAATAAAACACAAAAAGGGCTGGGGATGTGGCACAGTGGTTAAGTGCCCCTGAGTTCAATCCCCAGTACCAAAACAAAAGCAACAACAACAAACCCACAGGGAACTGCAATTCTAGGATAGTGGGACTATCTGTCCTGCTAATCTTTATGTGGAAAGCATTGAAGCTGAGGCTCTATTTATGGAAGAATTTCTGGTTTCCTGGGGTCTACAAGAGAGACAGGTTAAGTGGGTTTCTCTGGTAGCAGTGAAACCAGAATTAGACAGGCAGCCAGTGTAGATAAGTAAATCAAGTCAGGCTGGGTCTCAGAGGCCAATTTGAGTGAGTATGAGCAGTTGGAGATTGTCCCCTATGGGATCTTATCAAGAACCTGTCCCTGATCCAACCTGTTGCCAAGGTAACCTGTCCCAGGAATTTCCCCTCCCTACATGGAGCTATAAAGTTTTAATGTGTTTTTGGCTACTCTGTCCTGCCCTTCCCCCTTCAGCCCAACATTTTCCCACCTTTTGGCCCTCCCATTGGGTATTCCTGAGCCTAGTCACTAGGCAGGAAGGAGAAAGATAAGGGGGAAAAGGCAGGAGAACAAAGGAATCCTAGGATATATAAAAAGGGCAGAACACCTCACCTCTTGGGATACCAGGATACCAGCTATGGCCTCCTTCTCCCTTGCTGGAGAAGTCTATATTACCCCTTTTAAAATAATCCCTGGTTTATATGCTTGCCTCCCCAGTGTGCTTCTCTAATGTTCAAACTTCAACATGTGGGGAAGCAGGACTCATAACTGATTACCGGCAGTGTTACCGCTGTTTACTGGTGACAAGTCCTTGTTTCCCCAAACATTGAAGTATAACACCAGAGAAGCATGCCGAGGCAAGTGTAGAGTGGAAAGCGGAAGGCTTTATTAAAGGATAGCAGAAAAGACTTCCTCCTGGAGGAAGAAGGGAACCCAAAAGGCAGAATCCGTGGAAGGGCAAGGTCTTCCCTTTTTTATAGCTAAGGTCTTCTTTTATTCCTCTCACATTTCTGTCCTTTGTTTCCCTTTATCCTGCAGTGATAGAATGTAGGTGGGAAGGTCAAAAGGTGGGAGACAAATGACTGGAGGAGTAATCTGGGTAGGAAGGGCCTGGGGTGGTTTGATTAGCACCTCCCAGTTTGATTTGCACCTCCCTGTTAGCTGGGAGCTGTTTCTTTAACAATTCCTTAGAATGGGTTCCCAGCATTGGGGACATTAACATTTCAATTTCCCCAAGTACTTCTCTGGTTTCCTGGACTGTATTCTCCATAATGGTCTCCATTTTCTTTATCTTACTCCATATTAGACCCAATTTACCTAAGTACAGTAACTACCTATCTTTAAATCTGGCTTCAGCGGTATCAGCAGGAAACTCAGTTCCTCTGAACTCTATGTATAGAAAAATGGAACTGGGATTCTCTTGATGGTAGGACTCAACAGTGATGCTGAGCTTTACATGATGAGCTAGTAAATTAGAGTCTATGACAGCAGTGCTTACTGGGAATATTGGCTTTTTGTGGAGCATCCAGAACCTGGGATTTTATCATGGCAGTATAGCTGGGGTCTATGTAGAGAGCCAGGGACCTTGAATTGTGGAGAGCAGGATTTGCAGAGATGGTTACCTCCTCACAGAATGTTAGAAAACAGGATTGAGGGAGCCTTCTGGCTGGAGTGATGATGAGGTACACAGTAAGATGGACCTTAAATAATGGTGAGAATTTTAATTAATTTAATTAATTAAGGCAAGGACATTCTAGGCACTCAGAACAGCAAGAACCAAGTTGAAAAGAGAGGTGGCAAGTCAGAAAGACATAGGATTTATTTAGAGGAGTGGTTCTTAAATTTTTTGTCTCAGAGAGGCTGAGTTAGGAGGATCACTTGAGAGGTCTTGAATTTGAGACAAATTCTAGGCCACAGAGCACAATCCCATTTTTATTTATTTTTTATTTTTTTAAGAGAGAGAGAGAGAGGGAGAGAGAGAGAGAGAAAGAATTTTAACATTTATTTTTTAGTTTTCAGCGGACACAACATTGAAAGGGTAAAGTTTCTAAGCTGGAAAGCTTGAATTAAAATGTATTATTAAGTTCCTCTGTTACACCCAGATTCCTGAGATAGTTAAGACAATGCCCTACTGGCCATTTAGCCTAGGGCCCTGTGCAGTTTGTCACAGGGCCCTAACCAATCAGTTTGAATGTGTATCTTGCTTAGGAGTGACCAATCACCCCCGCCCGACCTGTTCCCGCCAATGAATGTGCCAATCACGTCTCAGAGTTGTTGTTCAATTTTCCCGTGCCTCATGATGATTTGTTCTGATGTATGCAAAGCCCACCGCCCTCTCCAGAAAGTGTACTTAAGCTCTGCTTGATCTCTGCTCTGGGCTCTGGGCTACTCTCCCTTCTTGAGTGAGCATGGAGCCCCAGGGTGCTGGAATGGATCCCCAATAAATCCCCTTTTGCCAATTGCATGGAGCCAGTCTCTTGTGTGGTCTCTTTTTTCTGACACTCCGCCGGACCCTTACACATCTTTGTATGTGGTGCTGAGGATCGAACCTGGGCCGCACGCATGCCAGGTGAGCCCGCTACCACTTGAGCCACATCCCAGCCCCCATTTTTTTTTTTAAAAATTGTTCAAAGAGCTTTTATCATAAGATAACATCAGTTGGTTTTTATTGTTTTGGAAATTAAAATTGAGTTACTGTGTCAATTCCCTACAGCTGCTCAAGGAAGTTGCCACAGATAGTGACTTAAATGACAAAAATTTATTATCTAGGGTCCTGTAGTAAGAAGTCTAAGATGAGTTTCACAGGGATAAAATGAAAGTATGCCAGATAGCAATCTCAAGATCAACCTCAGCTCCCTGGGATTAAATATGCACCACCAAGCCCAGCAAAAGATTCTTAATCATATCTATAAAATCCCTTTTGTAATTTAAGATAACATTGAAAGGTTCCACAGATTAAACTTGTATATATCTTTGAAAGACCATTATTCTGCTTATCACAATTAGTAATTTATTAATTGCACTGAAAAACCAGCCTCTACCTCAGAGCAAAGACTGTCCAAGGAAGGGGCATGACCTTTGCCCTTGGAAAGACCACAGAGCACTCCCAGGCACATTCCCACCCTGCTAAGTTGTTTATCTACAAATAACAGGAAGAGATCTGCTGGGCCAGGTGTCCCTGACTCAGTCAGGCTAGGTGGGGACCCATAGCAACCCACTAGCAGCCACCAATCAGCATGAGACAGGGAAATACCTGGGATGCCAGATGACCCTCCCAGTAGTTTATGGTGGTTGATAATGTGTTGGGAAACCATGTAGTTTAGCATGAACACCCCTCTTGGCTTAAACCAGTCAGTTCAAAGGAATCCCCCTCTTGTATTAACCAATCAACCCTACCCAACTTGTTCTCGCCAGCGAATGTGCTAATCATGTTTTAGAGTTGTTTTATGATTTGCCTGCAGTGTGTGATGATTTGCTAAGAGATGCTGATGTATGTGAAGTCCCTGTCTTCTCCAAAGAGTGTATAAAACTGCTGCAAACCCTGGGCTCGGGGCCTCTCAGCATCACCAGTTGTTGTGTGTACTTGGAGGACCGAGCTAGCTCGCAATAAACACCTCTTTGCTGCTTACATCGATCTTGGTCTCTGGTGGTCTTTTGGAGGTCCAGAATTTGAGTGTAACAGCACATTGGCACACACTCATAAATCCTAGGGACTTGGGAAGTTGAGGCAAGTGGATCAAAAGTTTAGCCAAACCCTGTTTCAAAATAAAACAGAGGGCTGGGGATGTAGATCAGTGGCCCACATCCCTGG